GATTAGGACCCTATTGAAAGATTTTTTTTTCTGCAAATGAATCGCATTTGTAAGGGTCTAAACATGCTTGAAAACTCACCAAATTTTGCACACACGTGAGGCAGGGTGAAAGATTTCATATTTTATGGGTCTTGCAAGTTGGACGTGGCAAAATGGCTTGCTAGCGCCCCCTAAAGAGCTGCCCTCAGGAAAACTGAATGTATCGTGTCCACACGTAGAAAACAGCCTCTTGGAACGATGCCCAACAGGAAGTCAGACATTTAGATTTAATTTTTTGGGCAATATACGCACTGTACTTGAACTCCTCCTCCAATGGAATTAATCTTAAATTTTTTGCTGAGCAGTCTAAACCTGCTAATGATTAAACATTGGACTAACTGTAAATTTCCGTGGCATGGGGTCCAAAAATGGAGTTATGTAAACTGAGATTCAGGAACAGGACCACTCTCACTAATTCGACCAACTGCGCCTCATTCAATTCCTCCAATCAACCACCCTTGCTTCACTCATTTCATCCACCTGTGCCTCTCTAATCCACATCACATGCACTCAGTTCTCACAACCGTCAGTTCAGACTCAGACACACACTGAAGTTTCTCGAAAGTACTTTTGCTTACCTTTAACACAGATCACGAGCTGATTCTCAGCACCTCTAACTCGGATCCACACAACGATCAGCCCGCGATCTCTAATCTTCTCCATAGTTATTCTACTCCCATGCGGCCACTTCCGCATTCCCAATGCAGTGACACACGCACCTGACACGCCAATGACGTCACAACGACGCCCACCACCGTAATGCAAACTGCTCCAGCCCTTATACAGGGCCAGGTTGTATGCACCAGATTACCACCGCTGCCCTTCTTTGGGGGCACAAGGCCCAGCCATCAAGGTACACACAGACAACCACATACTACATCACCAGTCCTCTCTGCAACACCCACTTTCACCACTAAATTTTACAGAGCCGTCTCACGCTCTTGGTCGCCATCTCTGCCTATCCCATATAATTCAAGATTCTTCGGACCCGTACTCCGGTCACTCATTCTGAATCGGAACTAGACCACACTGCCGAAATCTCAGCCGTCGCTCTTCCCATGCTTACCATAGCTACGTCTGCAACAACCATACTGACGTTTTTCGAACCAATTTCCGTTCAATCCGTAACTCTTTTGGGGGTTCATAAGACCAAGCCGCTTATTGAGATGAGCCCCCACCCTTAGTCTCGACCCCTCGGGTTCCTAGCCGCTCCGGCCACCAAACCCTAAACAACCTCCTCGACCCCTTCATCCCTCCATCCTCAACCCCCTCATCTCTCCATCCTCGACCCCTTCAGCGCTCTCCCCTCGACCCCTTTTCATCCGTCCCATCTCAAACTCTCCTTTAATAACTATTCATTTCAATAAACCATTATAAAATCTAACATTGGCGTGGTACTTGTTAGTGAATGGATTATTCGCCATGAAACAGCAACTTGTACTTCAGTGTACATGCTCACATGTGCACCAAACTTTACATGGTTGATAAGAGTCCTGCCCTGAACACATCTACAAGCCAATATTCACTCATAGTCATAGCGCCAACTACTGGCAACAGTATGTGACTACTTCTATGCTGTGATGAAGCCCTTCTTGCAGGTTGGCTATATGTACTTTTTAAACTATCTCAGAACACATTGATGATGTCATGTTGTAAAGCTTGTGAGTTTTCCTTCACATGGCATGGCGGCTCCAAAGTTCCAAAATAAACTGTGTGTTTATGGTGATCAAAGAACGTCACCCAGTGCAACAGTGGAGCAAAGAAGAAGAAGATATCCTTATCCTTTACCTAGTAATAGTCATCTGTTAGTGATTTGAATATTGCCTGGTTGCAATTCTTCTGCAGTTTCAGTCTTGTCCATTTAAAAGTGCTGGAAATTAGTAAAATATGGATGGATAAAAGTAGGAAAATCAGGTAAGAGAAAGACAGAGACACAAAGAGAGAGACACAGACAGAGACAGAGGCGGACAGTAGAGTTTAATGATTCCAGATGAGCTGAGTGGTCTGCCTGACAACTGAAATGAACAGGAATCAATAGTGAGAGCGTCTGTCTGCAGCAGATAAGACACACACACACACAATGTTGACTATTAAAGACGACAGCTTGAGATATTACACTATTAGTTATGCTATTTTTAATCAGCTATCATATTTAATTAATTCTTCAGGTCAGATGCTATCTGGGTGTCTAACTGTGTGTATGGTGGGCGGGGGAGGTGGGGGCTGTGTGGGTTAAGTGTGTGTGAGTGGAGGATGTGGGGCTATTACTCCTGTAATGGGGAAGAATGGCTAATCTAAAATATAGAACCTTGAAAAGACACAAAATAGAAAAACAGGAGGAATGGAGGAAGCAGAGAGATGGATGAAAAAAGAAGGGGACAGGGATAGAGCCGGAGATAGGAAAATTCTTTGAACTATGTGTTTAATAATAATAAATAGGGTTATACTGATAAGGGTTTTTGAAAGGCGCTGGTTTGGGACATATGTCACTTTTTTTGATTGCAGACATTTTGTGTCAGTATGCAGTATTTAAAAAAAAAATTTCAGTATTTAGCCAAATTCAATCTACAAAGAATTTGGCTAAATTTCCAGTAAAATATCATTAGATATACAAATATCTGCATATTTCACAAAAACACAGGACAGTGTTTAGAATTATGTATGTATTAAAATAGTAATATGATACATTTGAGTTACAGGAATGGAAAACGAATAACAGGAAGAATGTCCAGGAAAATGTAAAACAATAACAACAATAAAAAGAGGAAGACATATTGATGGAAACATGTGATCAGTTGCACAATAATATTAATGTAAAGTGCATCACACCATTTTAATAAATGTCCAGTGTGGACATGTTCTATGTGTTCAAACCAAGCAGAGAGCGTGGAGCCAGCAGAGGGATGAGGAGAGAGCCTTCGTATCATCACCTCACTCTGACCAGCCACCAGTGTGAGATCAGGCAGCTCAAGCTGCTAATTATAGTAATTATGATTCATTACTGGCTGAGATTAATTTAATAAAGAGTAGGGTGAGCAGAGCTCGTTAACCTTCATTAGAATAATTATAGACGCAAGACACACACAGGCTCACTCTCACTCTCACACACATGCATGCTGTCTGGTGAGAGGGAGAGGCGTGGGAGTCTGCTGTGACACGCTGTGGGAACGAGGACTCCGTGTGTGTGTGTGTGTGTGTGTGTGTGTGTGTGTGTGTGTGTGTGTGTGTGGTACTATCATTATGTTCAAGTGTCCTCATAACAACAATAAAATGAGGCAGAAGGGGCTACTAAGTGAGAACATTTTGCAGATCCTCACTTTAGTTAATTATTAATTATAAGTCAGGGTTACATGCACACACATATGCACACATACACTCAAACACACAATTATATTATGGCATTTTACCAATACTGAAGACTTTTATATAGGCTACTGTACAGTACCTTTACTGTTCTTTTTAATATTTGCGGTATTTTTAGTGTTCTTACATTATTGCTGACATTATTGTTACTGTTGTTGTTGTACTATAATACATGTGAATTTTATTACAATCGAATTCTTTAGTAAATTTCAGGATTTCAAGGGGACAAAAGCCAAAAGACAAACCCTACATGATTTCATTGCGCTGTCACAGACAAGGTGTGGAATAGGGTTAGAAGTTTCATCCTTCATTTGATATGGTAAACATGGAATTTACAGAGGCTATCTGACTGCTTGGACCACTGCATGTAATAATAATAATAATAATAATAATAATAATAATAATAATAATAATTGTACTCACTTGCCTGGTTTTTCCCTAACACCCTGTTCACTGTTCCTGTAGCAGTGTGTGTTGGCAGTGCTTTATGGTTGTCTTCGACCATAGTTAAAATGCTAATATTTCCCATGGTGAATAAGCTCCTGTGATATTTAATATAGTTAATATATTGACTGTTTAAAAATAAAGCTATAAAGCCTCCAGGCAGAAGCAGGAAGTAGATCAAAAGGCTCTGGTAATGGGTTCAGCTCTCTGATTGGCTAATCATGTCTCTTTGTTGCAGTCATTATTTTGCTCAACTTTTAATTTCTTCCTCCTAAGGATCATTGAGCAAGGCAATTACATGGAGCTGACCTTGTGTATTAGGGCCGGGAGGAGGACAGGAAAGATGTCCCATCACCTCTCTGTCTTTTTTAATTTCTTCCACAACAATATAAAAAGTGTGGCGTCAGAGCCTCCATCACTATTCCCCTCTTTTCTGTGGCTGAAAATGAGAGTCAACGGAATATTAAGTCCCTTGCATTTGAATAAACACGTCGTGTGTTAAATCAAAATCCAATTCTGTGGTCTATTATTTTCTGGCATAGTAATGACTGCCAAGGATTAGGAATCAATATTTCACTGCAGCGGGGACATTACCGGCTTTATTCAGGCCGTAATTGAGTTTTGAGGAGAGGCACTGCCCTGGAATCTGCATTAAAGATAAGGGCTCTTTTCATGTGGATGCACAAGTAAAGCTGGAGGAGGCGACACATTACACCAGCTACACATCAATTACAGCCACGCCAGTTAACCTTGCAACACACTGCTGAAACTCTGCTACTGGCTGTAGCCAAATTGTCGCCAGCCAAGCTGTACACCTGCACCCGCTACATAGAGGCTAATGTGTCACCTGTGCAAAGCTGTTCATATTTCACTTGGAAACAAATGAACGAGCCGGTTCGGGTGTTCCCGCCCTCTGTTTCTCCTCGTGCTCGGATAGCAGGCTGGCCCTGATCGCAGTGCTCTGCGCACAGTCCCGACATATAGACTTTAGTGGAAAAGGGATTCGTTTGTAGCCAATTACAACTCGTAGAGTTGAATAGGAATGCATAAATGAGGAGGGACACACAAACACACGCGCGCGCGCGGACATATGTGAGTGGGCTGTGTGGGATATAATAGAAGGTCCTCCAGGGGCCGGCTAAAACCCCCCAAAAAAAGGCGTTGAAAACTGCACGAGCTGAAGGAGGGAGAGAGGGGGGCGGCTTCACTTAACTAATGGTGAGAGAGGGACAGCGGGAGAGAGAGAGGGCGCGAGCTAGTTTTAAGTATTGGACAGATATATCAGCCTCGTCCCGCCTTCAACTCCTGTCAGGCGTCCAGAGCGCGCGCACACCGGTGACAAGACAGAGCGCGCGAGGCTGGAGGTCGGGACGCCGAGGCTGTTTATGATTGTGTGCCAAAACGGGATAAGGGCGCCGTCCAAGACAGACACACGTTAGCTCGCCCGAGACCGTGGACGCGGAGGATAAAGCGAAAAGAAGTTTGAGCTGTGACCTAAAGCCCTTCACCTGCCCAGACTGCCACCCATGGAAAACTTTAACGGGCTGGAAACATCACCTCGTACTGCGTGCGGAAGCGACTCGTGAGCTGGCCTGCGCTGTGAAGTTATTATTTTTTACATGAATATCATCCAGTCCCTTTAAAACGATTTGTCCTGAATCCTTTTCACCGCACCGGCATCTTAATCCGGATTCTTCATATATGGGAAAGGGGGAGTAAAGTGATGAACAGAGCGGTACCGGGTCCCGGCGCGGATGGGGTCCAGACCGTGATCAGCCGGGACAGAGCCGTAGCCGGGCCAGTGGCGGACGCGGTCCAGCCCGTGATGAGTCGGGACAGAGCGGTACCGGCGCCCGGCGGGGACGGGGTCCAGACCGTGGTGGGCCCAGACAGCGGAGACATGCTGGACGGAGGGGCCGCCGGGGAGAAGCGGATCTTCTCCAACACGGGGGCCGGACGCAGAGACGCTCAGGCCGTGGAGAACCACTCGGAACCTCCTCCGACGAACCCGGTGTTAGCCCCGCCACAGCAGGTAGATGCATGGGGCCGAAACTGATGGGTTTCCGCAGGGGGTAGGGAGTAGGTGAGCCTCATATAGCACCGCGACACCACGAAGAAGAATAGTGTAAATAGATCAAGTTTGGATCAGTGGACATGTCAGGACAGGAACAAGCAAAGTGCAGACAGGCTGGCGTAAAGCAGCAGAAAGTGGGCTAAGGATGGCAGCGTTACCAGGACGCCGAAACTGACAGAGGAAATGAATGGCATTTAAAAAGTTGTTTTGGTTTGTTTGTTTGTTATATGACGGTGTTGACTGTAGTTTCGTCTTGCCATCTAAAACGAATTGTGGGCCTTTGCTGTCATGATGTGTCAGTCCAGTCCAGCTGGCAGATGAGGCCTTAATTAAGATGTAGCCTAGACAGCCAGTATGCTGGTAATGTGGTGGTAAATATAAAATAAACTGTAGAGAACATCAATGTTTCCGTAAAAAGCTGGGAGGGAAATAGACTTCTTTCTGCAAACTGCATCATATTGCGCTGGAATCCATGCAAACGGACGAATTTAACAATTTCAGAATTATGTAGACTAATTGAATCTGAATTGCAGCTTGTAACAATACCTATACTATTTTTATTTCCCTTAAATTGAACAATATTCAGCAAAAGGAAAATTTCATTAAGTGTTAAAAATCCTTAAAAAAGTGGACCTTTTAGTTCTCGACCCCAGTCCGGGGTTATTCTGGATTCTCCCTGCCGTAACTTCCTACGCTTGATCACAGCTCTGGTCGTGGTGTTGCGTGATTGTTCTTATCAACACATGTTAATAGGCCCCTGGGTGCTACCGGTGTGCGCCCTGGGATTATTTAAAGAGAGAGAGAGTACAATATTATTAATGTGGGATTATTCCTGTAGACGTGCTCCACACTGGCGTCATTAAGAAATGAATGATCCTAATCGGAATGTTGTGCACAGCCTTTACCTGCTTTTTACACCTGTCCAACGCTCTGTCTTGTCTCAAGGATTAAATTCAGTGTAGGTTTCAATAGCTGTATCACAAAGTAAACATTGTGTACGCATACAGAGTCACACTCATGTAAGGTATATAAGATTTTATAGAAATCTTAAACTAATGTTTTTATTAAACTCATCGCTTAAAATACGCCAGTTCGTTTTACAGGTATTTTCATGGAGAACTAATAAAAACAAGGGTTCACTTCCTTTATGTCTGTACTCTGCTTTTCTTTGACCTGCATAAATAAAAGATATGACTACTGACCGCTCCGTATCCAGTTTATTTGTAGTGGTGTAGTTAGCCTTATGTTGACCGTCCGATTTACTGGCTGTGATGTTGCTGTTCAAACTGTCTGTCTGTCTGCCTGAGCTTCAGCACTTTAAACAGTATTTCACCAGTTACAGACATGGACATGGACTAATGTAGTTCATGTATTTCAGGCCTGAAGACTGACTTTTGTATTTTATTTTTTTGTATTAGGCCTATTATTATTATTATTATTATTATTATTATTATTGTTGTTGTTGTTGTTGTTGTTGTTTTATTAATCCTTTTTTTGACTGAAACCACTGTTATTGTTAACGATGCACTTATTGTATATAGAGCCTATATATGTTAATATATAACTCAATTAAAATGAATGAAAAAACGCTTCTAGCAGGGAACCTTTTCGGAGCTGTACATCAGTGCGCTCATCAGGCATCAAATTCTCAGGCCGAAGAAGAAATAAGAAGCGAATAAGAGAAATGAAACTGAGCTCAGACTCTAATTTCCAAAAATACTGTGAATGAATAATTCCGATGCGTTGTTTGGCAGGGCCCGACCGGGCACCGGACCACCTCTTTCTCCGTACTGGACATTTTGGACCCCAACAAGTTCACGAGCAGCCGGCGACACCAGCAGCAGCACGCGAACCACCGAGGGGAGCGCGAGCCCAGCGCATACGGGGCAGAGAACCGGAGAGAAGCCGCGGGGGAGCGCGAGCCCAGCCTGGAGGCCAGCAAAGGCTGCTACGGCGCCGATGAATACCCCAGCAGTAAGTCTGCGTCCACATGGATTCCCCTGTCCCGCATCATCTCAGGCCCTTGTTAATTTTTCTTTTAACGCGATTAATTTTCCCGCCAATCCCCCCCCCCCCCCCCCCCGTTTTCTCTCTGTGAAATGTCTTAAAATCTTATCTTAAATTTGCTAATCTGTCTGCTTTTATCCCACATTTTTTGTTTTCGTTTTCCCAAATCTCACTATATTTCTGTGTATTTATTTGATAATTTTGAGGCCCTATTTAACCCTCTTTAATTGTAAGGAAATTCCAGTTCATCAAAATTCAGTGACAATGACGTGGGGTTTGGCTTGCCGCTTTTTATTCTATGTCCTTTAGCAGACTGTGTGTGTTTACGTGTAGCCTATCATTTAAATTTTGTGCGCCTTTTGTCAACCCGTTCTCTTAATTTTTCATAAATAGGCTATCTATTTTTTCGGTTTCACGGAATGATCAGTTTGGCAACGTGTTTCTGTTCTAATTATGTGTCTATTTACAGAGTCTAAATCTGGAGTTACTCAGGTGTCAGAGAGGAAGCTGTGTTTAAAACGGAATGAGAAGGAGAATCTCTTAACAGGCCGAAACACGGGGATTTCGTGTAGAAAAAAACCGTCTTATGAATTCGTTTTTTAAAACTTAGACAGGAAATAAACGAGCTTTAACGGAAGAGCGTTTCCAATAGAAAGTCTGAGATGGTCGTTAACGCCCTCTTTAATTGAAGATCAGTTAAAAAAGAAAAAGCATGAGGTAATTGGCCACGGTTGGTGTGTGTGTGTGTGTGATCGGTATTAGGCCTATTGATTTTTGAATATCTGTGTCAACCAGCAGTCTGGACTGTGTGTCAGTGAACCTCCATTCAAAACCATTAACTCCATCACTGTGTTCCTCTCTTTGATACTGATACCGTGAATACTATACTGTTGAATTACAGCCCCGCGGTCAGACTTTTCTTTTTAATTTGTGTTTTTCTTCCCTTTTTATCGTTAAATCTTTAGATTTGATTTCACAAGTGTTAATTTATGGCATTATGAAAAATGAAAAAACTTTGGCCTTTCAAATGCACAACCACTTTGTACCTAAATGACAAATCTGAAATTTGTCTCAGAAAGGTTTCTATTTAACTAATAGAGACTTTCATGTCAGAGAATATTCAGATAGATTTTTAAAAACAAATATACCCAATCTTATTAAACACATGTTGAGTCTCTTTTTATTTTTTAAATGCATCAGCCCACTAGATTATGGTGGAGATTAATAGATACATGTGGTATATTTGAAGCCGAATATTAAGATAGCCTAACTCATTGTAAACATAATTGAAATAAAAAAAAATAGTGTATTTCTGTTTAAAATGCTGTTGCCTTCATTCATAAATATTCAAATGACCATTAACTAATGCATTTACAGCATGTTTGGGCCCATCAGTGAACCCAGTTTTTTGGTGCTGTTTTTTCTTTCCCTGAACAGACAAAAAGTACAGACTAAACCAATAGGATTCAAATAATATATAAGATTACAGTGTTTCAACATTTACACCTCAATCTCAGCACTAACTTTTATGATTTCATTCAGATTAGCTGATAACCTGAAAAGGAAAATGACCTTTAGATAAATGTGGTTTCAGTGCGGTTTACAAACCCCAGTTCTTTTACCAGTAAAAGTTAGGGCTTTTTCATTAAAAACAATTGATACATTTTTTTAAATTTCTGGGGGGGTTTTAAGTCATAAAATATATGACATGTGTGCACAATGGATTTTCAGATAGAAACTGACAGATTGAATGAGAAATACTTTTATTATACATTTATTTAAAAGTTGTACTTGTATACCTGCAATGTGTCCATGTGACATTTTTAGGATTTAAAAAAAATGTTTTGTTTTTTGGTTTAACTTGATAAAGTTTTAGACATGTAAGCACTGAGCAAGTCTGGATTACCAACCAGGCAAAGTGGGCCCTGGCCTGGGGCCCTGAGCGGCCCTGAAGTTGCTGTGTGGTAGTTATTTTGCTGTAATTGAATTTCAATTTAAATTAGTTTGATAATAATTAGTTTGTTAATACTCCACTTCACAATATAAACTCAAATGATAAGGCCGTTAAGGTGTCTCCTGCATTTTTACCCGTTATGTCAAAATCTCAGTTGATGCGTGGTACAGGCACACCGCAGCAGGGAAGGTAGCTGATCTGATAGGCACTTAAAGCCAAAAGGAGTGGGTTCAATTTAGCCTTGTGGCCCTCTAAGTGGGTTCATCCAGCCCTGGTACTGAGTACAGTAAATGTTATTTTAGATTCCCCTCCTGCTTATGTGAATCAGTTGCCAATTGGATGGTCTCCAAATGTTTGGCTGATAAAGTCATAGAGATTTTCATCGAGCACTTTGACTGTTTCTCTGGAAGTCTTTTGAACATTTTAATGATTTGCATTTAAATAATCAAATGAGACATTAAGGCCTCTGTGATTTTTACTGTGGCTGATTGTTGGTCACATTTCCACAATTATTATTTTTATACTGCATGCTGTCTTGTTAAGTTACTTTTCAATCAACCACATTCCTGAAGTTATTAGTGTTATCTTTAAAGTACATGGTTCCCATACATTGTTCACTATATTACACTAGGTCAAATGTGAGATTATGTAGGTATAGTGGGAATTGTTGGGTCTTTGTATTGTAATAATAAAACAATAAAAACTAAAATGATACAGGCGTTTCACAAGTTAGATTTGGCCTTTGTTATTTCTCATTATTCATGAGACCTATTTCTATTCACAGTGTATTTCTTTTTAATTAACTTACTAAATTAGGCACAGCACATACATGCATCAAATGCCCCACAGCTAATGTTTGCCCTGGGGCCCCCTAGTGGGTTAATCAAACCCTGGGCTTGGAGAGAATTCTATCTTTGCAAAGCATGAGATAATTTCCACTTCAATAAGTGTTTCTCTGACAGAAGTAATTTCCAATGGTGTGTTGAGGAGCCCCCCCCCCCCCCCCCCCCCACACACACACACACACAGAGGGAGTCGCTGTTGGGACTGCCTCATGCCGCTAAGTTCTGTGTTATGGATGTAATGGTTATTTTGACATAAGGCTGTCCCCGACTAGGGATTTCCATAGTCGAATTAGAATCGTCAAGTCCTGCCTATTGTCGAATCATGTGTGTGTTTTTGTGCGCGTCGTCGGGATTAAACACGGTAGCTCTGCTTTAATCTTGAGAACTGCAGAGCTGCAGTCTATTTTCATTCAACGTACACTGTAAATTTCCAACTAAACTGAGGCTTTTTGAAGACCCTTTTCTCTCTCTCTCTCTCTCTCTCTCTCTCTCTCTCTCTCTCTGTCTCGCCTGTCATTCACCGGTCTTGTGCAGAGTTTTACTTGCATTACTGCTGCTGACAGCTGCATGCACGTCGCGGTTCCCCGCGGGTCTATTTCAAGTGGCCAGCTATTTAAAAACGATAAAATATTCTTTATGTGGTTCATCAATGGTGATAAATTATCTGAAAGTCCCGCGAGGTGCGGACAACTCAGCAAGTGTTCCTCCACTACCACTGCACACATACATACTCTTACACATGCGCACTGACGACCCAGGGTTAGGGTTACAATTTTGGATTTATTCACGCACTTTAGAAACATTTATTGAAAGTTTTATTCTTTTTACATATTTATTTACAGCATTAAACGTATATCGTTTAACGTATGTATATTTTAATAGGCTGTACTGTATATTAACTTATTGAGAGAAAACTGGTAGTTCTATGTAAAATCAGACGTTGAGCACCCCCATATCGCCAAAATGGCATGATCCTTGTTTCTGTGAGATTGACAGTCGAATCAGGCTCTGCCCATCGAAGCATCAAATCTTGGACTATTCGGGTTCAGCCCTATTTTGACATTGTCTTTGTTGTGTGTGTATTTCCAGAGGAAGGCTTTGTATACAGAAGCCCAGATGAGGATGACTACCACAGATCTGGGACCCCAGACTCAGAGGCTCCAGACGGGCCCTACAGCAGTGAGGAGAGCAGTTCAGCTATGCCCGGTAATGAAGAAAGAGATCTGGGCCAGCACAACCACCAGGACCCTGGCCGAGACACCACAAGCCCTGGAGGAGGCCCTGCAGTCCAGAACAATGGGGGCCAGGGGCCGCAGGGCAAGCCCAAGAGGAAGCGCTCTGGCTCGGACTCCAAGTCAGGGAAGCCCCGTAGAGCCCGGACTGCCTTCACCTACGAGCAGCTGGTGGCGCTGGAGAACAAGTTCAAGTCGACGCGCTACCTGTCAGTGTGTGAGCGGCTCAACCTGGCCTTGTCGCTGTCCCTCACTGAGACCCAGGTCAAGATCTGGTTCCAGAACCGCCGGACCAAGTGGAAGAAACAGAACCCCGGTGCCGACACCTCCGCCCCCACTGGCACAGGAGGAGCAGGAGGAGCAGGAGGTACGGGAGGAGCAGCAGGAGGCCTGGGCGGCCTCAGCCCTCTCAGCCCATCCCCTCCAATCAGCGGGCACCTGGCCATGCACGCTGGCTACGCGGGCCACCATCATCCCCCTGCAGGCAGCCTGGTCCAGCTGCCTTTCCTCACCGCCAGCCACGTCCTGTCCCCCTTCATGCTGGGGACACAGAGCTACGCTGCACCTGCCTTCTACAGCACACACCTGTAAACACACACACACCTGACAGATCAATCCTCTGAGCCCAGAGAGACTGGAATGTTTCAGTGTATGAATGAACTGCAGCACAGCAGACAGACTGTCAGCGTGTCTCCTTTTTACTACCAACATTTGAAGGCTTTAATTTCAAGGGATTATTTTGATAGAATGTGAATATCTACCAGAAACTGTACATAAATCTATGTTCTAGCTCCCTATTCCGAATGCTGTTTTAAACTACATAATAGACAAATAGTTGATTTCCTTGTTTTGAAAAGAGTCTGTATGAATATTGGATGTTTATAACTTAAGGAATGGCTTGATCTATTGTCAGTACCGTGTAACTCCAGCTGTGATTGTTTTCATTTCTGTTATTTATTGAATTTGTTGACAGTTTCCATAAAATCCTTGGATGTACTAAATCCTCAACTCAACATGATATCTTCCTTTGATATTAAAATAATGACAATTAAACATGAAAACTAGCCCAGTGAACTCATTTTAATGGAACAGCATAGGACAGCATGACACTGGAAAGTTTTTGTAAGTTAGTCCTGACAGGGCCTTCTGGCTAAAAGATGAAGCCAAGCTAAAAACTGCAGTTCCTCAAACGACCACTTGAGGCTGGCTCTAAAAGCAAGGCAGTCCCCATCAATAACGTCCATCTGCGGACTGTAGCACCGCTCACGCGCACCACTCGCTCACGCCACACCCCCTCCCAGTACAGTCTGTAATGATTGGCTGTAGCTGCAGCACCTTTCTGGATGGTCTGTTTTGCACATGCGCGTACTTATTCCCGCTCACTTTGAACCACGCATGTGTGGACATGTCTGGATGTCATGGAAGCCTGTGATTTAAAGAAAAACTTTATTTACAACACAATATTTTACAAATACACAGGGAAGTGTAATCAACAAAGGATGGCTTCAGCAGAAGAAAAGTGTAGTGTGCTAAGTAGTGCAATATTATTTTTTTCTAGTCAATAGTACTATTGACATGAAAAAGATATTAATATTAACTTCCATTAATACTACATAAACATTTTTAAAGTTAAACTCCAATCTTGATATGCATGTTTCCACAGCAGTGAAAGCTGGATATTAAAGGCTGGCAGTATCAACAGTTAACAGTCCCATACATGTTGTCATATTAAGCAGGCACAAATAGAAAAACCAAAGACAATAACACAACCAGCATGAATAAAACAGAATAAAATACCAAAATATAATAAAATAAGATTTTAAAAAACAGAACAATAACAAATGTAGGTAAGGATATTAATAGAAACATAAAACTTCGGACTAACATTAATAAAATGCATATTTTTAAAGATTATATGATTATTTAGATTAACAATGTTGAACATTTGATATGAATAACTTTTTTTTTTTTAATAATTGTACTTGTTTGTCCATTAACATCATAGATTCAACTTTTGCTGCACTGAGCTGTGATTACCTATCTGCAGCTTCTGCTGCACCATTACTTTATGTTACCTTCTTCTTCAAATCCTGCCTAGTCTGATGAACTTTGACAAATACCAAGACCCGCGCTAACGCCACGCCCCTCGCCCCCTCGCTCAGGCCACGCTCCAAAGCTACAGTCCACAGCCGAACCCTTCTCGTCCCCATAGAGCCCTATGTTACAATGCCCAACTTTACAGCAGAAATAAACATGTTTACAGCCTGGTACAAATGCAGTCTTGGTCTCTATAGCTTATTTCCACTTCATGACAGCTATGTGGGGGTAATTTTATATATATTGTAATGGGAATTCCAAACATATTGCATGTAACTCTGGACTCAGGGAGACTAATGTGTGATGTGGTACTGAATCTGTGTAAACGTAACAGACCAAATATCTCTGTTTTCTTTGTTATCCAAACTTCAGGGACAACCTGTCTCTGTGGGATGATATGATTGCCCTAAAGCTGGTTAAATAATAGACTCACTCATCTGTCCGCACTCATTCAAGTATACATGTATATGGCGTATGTGTGTTGCTGTGACAGGGCTCCAGACTAACTTACTAGGAGCACATTTTAGGGGCACAGGCAGAAAATGAAGGGGCGCACACCTTAAATCAACCCGCAGCACAATTGTCATTTTCCCCATTTTAACTGTATTACTGATAAATGCTTTGGTAATTAATACAGAAACTACAATGTGCTGTTTTATTTTTGTTAACAGGCACATCCAGGGCTTGACATTAACTTCTTTGCTCACCAGCCACTGTGGCTAGTGCTTTTCCAAAGTTACTAGCCACACAGCATTTTCACTAGCTACATTTTTGTTGTTGGGAAATTTTTATATGATTGAAGTTGACTATGGCATGCTGAAATTTACTACTAGATTTGCAACCCTTTTAAATGTAAATGACCACTGTACACACCCTAATCAAGACTACATAAAATGTAGAAACATGAAATAGACATAAAATAATGACACTACAGGTCATTATCATTACCTCTGATAAGGTTGTGTGTAAAGCTCCTTTATTATGAAAACAAGTAGGCCTAGTCTATGGAGATAAGGACATAAAGAGTAGCTTGTAGCTTCTACAAACTAAACTGAAAAGGCCTAGCATTAGAAACATTGTTTAAATATTTATTTAAACAGCAGTAAATACTGTAATACAGAGTACAGAATACTTTTTGTCTAATGTCTAATGTCTAATTCATAAAATCTGAAACATCTTACTCATGAAATCAAATGTAAATGCTCTGTACTTGTATAGCGCCTTTCTAGTCTTTTTGACCACTCAAAGTGCTTTTACACTACATCTGCATTCACCATTCACACACTGGCAGAAGAGCCGCCAGGGGCAATTCGGGGTTCAGTATCGTGCCCAAGGAGACTTCGACACGCAGCTTGGGGGAGCCAGGATTGAACCGCTGACCTTCCGATTAACAGCCAACCCACTCGACCTCCTGAGCCACAGCCGCAAAGCACTGTCCTCCTGGATTTCCTTCTATTAATGCACTCTGCTCTGGCCCTTTTCTTTCCTTCGTTCTCCTGTGCATGTTTTCTCCACACTGCTCGGCCACTGACTGAACGTCACACACGTGTGTGTGTGTGTGTGTGCATGCAACCAGTCGTGCACGATAACAGACAGAGATTTTACCAACAGCTTATAAGCAGGCGAGAGGGATGGGTAGGGTGACGGTCTACAGGTCTAAGGGACTGTGGCTTCCCTGTGACAGACTTAAATTACTCATTGTCATCTGACAAAAGTCTGGATGTCATATCTGGAGCGTGCACCCTCACGCAGGCACACTGCAGCAAGAGAGTGAGACGCGCCTGACATGTGGATTCTCCTTCTTAATAAAATTTTAAAATAAGCTTGCTATATTATCGCTGCCGCTGGTCAAGTTGACAATAAACGGCAGGCCAAAACAGGCCTCAGGCGTCTTCTTGTTTACAGTGTCGTCGGTCAGTAGCGCGCAAGACAATAGGCTTCACTAATGGACCAATGAGATAACACTGTTTGTACTCATGGGAGTTGGCGTATTGTAGTGTCACATTGCAAGTCGTTTTGTTATTTCAGATACCTACTACAATTATTTAAAAAGTGGTTAGTAGGAGTGACTGTGTTACCAGCCACGGGTGAAATCCACCTGCATTTGTCGGGTGTTAATGTCAAGCCTTGGTCACATCTCAACTAGTTGATACAAATGCTGGAAGTGGCGATGTCATATCATTAGTGTATCTGTTTAGGCACAGGGCTCAACGTTAAACTTTTTTGCAACTGGCCCCACGAGGCTAGTGGGTTTGAAACATACTGACCCGAACACAATTTTTACTGGCTCTCCTCCTCTCAGTGTTACAATAAAACCAAAGACTTATAAGTTATGTTAAACTGTTAACATGTTTAATCATTTATTAAATAGATCCTGGATATAAAAAAACTAAACTAAAATGTAATCACAGTTAAAATTATAAAAAATCAAAAGGTTAACAAAACATGCCATGGTAGCGACCTGTCAATCACAAGGTAGTCCCACCCAAAAGCATATGCTGCATTATTGTCTACCTTCCCCTAAATAGGACCATAATTTACTCAATGAACATCAAGCTGTGTTGAAGAATACTTGAAACTAGCAACTGAGCCTATAAACTCATTATGAAAGTGTTTACTGAGGGAATAATTCAGCAGAGAAATAGCAACATTTTACCATTATTTCTAATGGAACCGGACTTCTTTTTGCAACCAGCAGACTCGCCCCCCTGCTGGCCGTTATAGAGAATTCAGGTCTAAGTTCCGTCTGCATGGTTTCACTTTCAGACCCAGAGGTTGCCCCTTGATTGAGATTAGAGAAATAACATTTGACAACCACTTGTAACGTAACTACAAACCTGGATTGGACACCATGGAGAGTGCGCCATGAGCTGCAAAGCAACTGCAGGATGTTGAGTTTCTAATTATTTTTCTTAAATACTAATGTTTTTGCCAGTCAGTTACTAGTTCAACTGTCCCGACGTTACTTTTTACTGGCCCCGGACCATCGGGCCACCGTTATTGTCAAGCCCTGCGGCGTATTTTAAGTTAAGCTGCTGAAGTGCTTCCTTAACGTGTCGTGTTTAAACTGTGCAGTGCCGTTGCCTCAGCAAACTTGATTTTCCCCGCATGTTGTGTACCATATCTAGTGCAGCAGATACAGTTCATGGTGTTGGTGTTTTTGCTAAATCTAAGCCATGTAAACTCCCTTATCCAGGAGGGGGCTGAGCCTGCTAAGCCCCGCCCCGAATACACAGCTGGCCAATCACAGCGCAGTATAGGACTCGCTCTAACTGAAGTCCGACACTTTCATGGCTGCGCTCCATTGACTCTAATGCAAAAAGAGTCGTTTTCTAGCGTTTTTTGGCTGTATTTTTCCAAGATGTGATCAAACGCTGTTCCAGGGGCATCTTGTAATAGTTACAGTCGCTACCCAGAGAGGTTGATATGAGAACTACGATTTATTCTCTTTCCAAAAATAAAAAAAATAAAAAAAATAAAATAAAATCCAGAAAATGTAGGCTGTGGATTGTTCCTAATGTAATGTTAGTTAGCTAACGCTAGCTAACTTCCTACTCAATGGAACGTAAGAAAGCCCTACTGTTCTGCTTTTTAATGATTTTAATAATGAATACAGGCCTAAGTTACCCAGCTGTACAGGAACACTGCTGATCCTTAATATCATTGTCTTTTTTTTCTCAATTGTCGGGGGATGCGGAAGTTCACTTGTACGGTGTGATCGGTAGGCTTTAGCTTGTATCTTTAATTTTTTTCACATCCGTTTGAGTCAGTTTGACAGCCTGAATACAACCTTCAAATTTATAAAGTAACTGCAAAACTGTCTGCTTCTTTCTGAGATAGCTTTTTCCAACAAATGTGACAATATTTCTCTGGGGAGTGCAGTAATAGACAGTAGTAGCGACGACAGGACTTAGCAGTAACTA